GAGGGGCATCGGGGGCGGGCTGGGCCTCAGGATGCGGGAGCTCCGCATCCACCTGTGCCAGCGCTCCGCCGGCAGCCAGGGCGTCAGGTCAGCGCGGGGACCCGGGGACAGCTGGGAATGGGGTTCGGGATGCCCTGCTGGGGGGTCTAGCTCAGCCGGGGGACCCCCGGGTTGAGCACCGGGGACCCGCCGCTCCTCCTTTCCCCCGCAGGGAGTTCATCGAGAAGCACTATGTGACCCTGAAGAAGGCGAACCCCGACTTCCCCATCCTCATCCGAGAGTGCTCTGGTGTCCAGCCCAAGCTCTGGGCGCGGTACGGTGAGTGTGGGGTGCCCGCCGGGAGGAGGCACCTGCGGGGAGCCAGAGAGTCGTGGAATCGTCATGGAATGGTTTGGGTTGGAAGGGACTTAAAGGCCATGAAACACTCAAAGGGAGGAGGTGGGTTGGGAAGGGAAAGGCATGGGAAAATGGGGATGGGGAAAATCATAGAAGCACAAGATGGTTTAAGTTGGAAGGACCTTAAAAACCATCTTGTTCCACTCCCTGCCATGGGCAGGGACACCTTCCACAAGATCAGGTTGCTCCAAGCCCTGTCCAGCCTGGCCTTGGACACTTCTAGGGATGGGGCAGCCACAGCTGCTCTGTGCCAGGGCCTCCCCAGCCTCACAGGGAGGAATTCCTTCCCATGGGATACAGCAGTGGGGGTTCAGGGGTTACAGTGAAGGATGTTGGTGGAGAGGGATTCACTTCAGGGAAGTGGCCTGGGGGGAGGCAGAAAAGGGCCCTTTGGCTCAGCAGGTAGTTTCCAGCCTGTGGCTGTGATCTCCCACCCCCACCCTTCACTGCACAAAAATTTGGCTGGTTTTCCTTTATTTACACTGGATTGTCAGTGAAACACCAAGGAAGGAGCAGAAAAGCACCTAGGTAAAGGCTTTGTTTTATTCCAAAAACCATTTGGGCTTGACCAAAACAATTTAGAAACTGTCCTTTGAGAAGATGCAATGACTCTTTAAGCACAAATTTCCCAGTGTGAGCACACGGACCAGTGGAGTCTCTTGTCTGTGTGTGACTTGCAGGGAACTGGAGCCCTGAGCTGGGGCTCCTGTAGGAACAGGGAGTTTTTCAGACTGTTTTACTGAGGTGCTGGTGAGCACCTTGCTGGGAGCAGGCTGAAAGGTTGCTCTGGGATGTGTCTCTGCCCAGCCAAAGTTAACAAAAAGAGGCAGGGAAAGGTGTTTGGCTCCTTTGGCTCGTCTCCAAGGGAAAGGAGGAGAATAAGGAGAAGGTGGCAATGACAACTTGGGCACAGAGGGGGACACTGGGGAGTGGTAGATCTAAAAGGGTGCTGGTGGGAGCCTGGGCTGTGATACCAGTGGCACTGGGGAAGCCCAAGGCAGGGTTTGGGTTGCCCTGGCACCAGAAGAGGGCCAACATCCCTCCCCCATCTCACCCTTTATGTTTCCCACAGAGTTTGGGAAGGAGAAGAGCATCCCACTGAACAACCTGACAGTGGATGAAGTGGCCAAGGCCCTGGAGAGCGCTGTGAAAAGCCAAGCATGAGGACAGACAGTGAATACACACGTGCTGGAGACTTGACTGATGATCTTTAATGTCAGACATGTATCTTTAACTTATCAATCCATAAACACAACGTGCTTACCCTGAGCTTCACGTGGTGGATGGAAGCCCAAAGGAATGGCTGATCCAGCCCTTCACACCCTCCCTGGCACCAGCAGCAGCTCAGCTCTGCTCCTCTCCAGGCTCTGGGGGGGCACTGGACTGGTGGCTTGGGTGGTGACAAGGACCAGCACTCCCCTGCAGCCAGAGCCCTGAGCAGCCCTCGGGAAGCTGGGCATGGGGTGGACAAACAGTTCATTCCCCCTTGGAGCGTGGGGGAGGGCAGGGAGGTGGCAAGGCCTAGGAGAAGGCAGGCAGTGTGGTGTGGCAGGGACTGGGGGCTCCCAGGGGCTGCCTGACCGTGTCCAGCAGAGCCTGTGCCCGCTCCTGCAGCTCTGGGGTGTTCTGGTGCTGCTCCAGGGCCTGGTGCCCGCCTTGCCTGGTGAAATCAGCAGCAGCCTGTGCCAGAGGAGAGGGGTGAGAGCTGGCCAGGGTCTGCCCACAGCCACCACAGCCCAGGGAACGGGGCTGGAGGAACTCCCCAGAGCCCTCATGGACACCACATTCCCAAGCCAGGTAAATCCCACCATGCTGATGGTTGGTTGGGAAGGATCTTAAAGACCATCTTGTTCCACCCCCTGCCATGGGCAGGGACACCTTCCACTAGCCCAGGCTGTTCCAAGCCCTGATTAACCCAGCCTTGGACACTTCCAGGGATGGGGCACACAGCTTCTCTGGGCAACCTGTGCCAGGGCCTCCCCACCCTCACAGCCAAGAATTTCTTCCTGTGGTCTTCACTAAATGAAGCAACCACAGTGGAATAAAAAGAATCCACCTGTAATAACCCCAGAGGGTACAAACAACCTGCCCAAACCTCAGTCCTGGTTGATGAAAAGGATCTTCCCAGAGACACAAGAAGGGCTTCCACCTTCTGCATCACAGTTTCCCTTTGGGCAGGGAAGTGCTGAGGGGTGGGGGGCAGTGTGGTGGTGACTGAGGGCAGCATTTTTCAACTATAATAATCATCCCCCTTCCATAATAAAAACCCCCACAATAAGAATTTCCTGCCCCTTTATTGTGCCCTGGAGCCCCCCCCAGCTCTCACCTGTGGGCAGTGCAGGAAGAGGAGGTGCAGCAGCTCCAGGCACTGCCCCAGGGCCTCGGGGTCGGGCAGGGCGAGGATGGGCAGGAGCAGGGGCAGGAGGGGCTGTTGGAGCAGCCGCTGGCACTGGAACGGTCCCTTCTCCGCGATATTGCACAGCACGGTCAGCACCTGCACGGAGCAGGGAACACCTCGGGGGCAGCCTCCTGACAGGCTGGGGAGGGCTGGGAACAACTCCCATGGCATGGAATCACAGCATGGTTTGGGTTGGGAGGGACATTAAAGGTCATCCAGTTCCACACCCCTGCCATGGGCAGAACCACCTTCCACTAGCCCAGGTTGCTCCAAGAGCTGTTCAACCTGGCCTTGGACACTTCCAGGGATGGGGCAGCCACAGCTTCTCCAGACAACCTGTGCCAGGGCCTCACCATCCTCACAGAGAAGGATTCCTTCCCAATATCCCATCTAACCCTGCCCCCTGGAAGTGCGAAGCCATTCCCCCTTGTCCTGTCCCTCCAGACACTTGTCCAAAGTCTCTCTCCAGCTTTTTTTGTCCTGCCAGGTGCTTGCCCAAAGCCATGTGCCCACCAACCCCCTGGGTTTTCAATGCTCTTTACAAGCCCTTTCCATGCCCACCCCAAGGCACTGTTTATCCCCGTGCCAAGCAGACCCAGCTGTGCCACCCACCCCTTGGCAGCATGTCCCCCCAAGCCCTCTAAAGCTTTGGGGTCCTCCAGAGCAAGGTGTCAGCAGCCTCCCCTGGCTCACTCCAAGTTAGCATCTCCCTTGGAACTGCTCTTGTGCTGGGACAAGGCTCTGCCAGGGGTAAATACAGCTGGATTGGCTTCAGGGGAGGTGGCTGGTGACTGTCACAACAGGAGACCTTCTGCCAAGCTGTCCCTACCGCCCCATCCACCCTCCAACTCCAGCACTGTCAGGGTGGGATTCATGTTCCTGGAACTCCAGCGCTTCCCCACGGTTCCTAAGGCACGAGGTGAGGTCTTACCAACACAGTGGCCATCTGGGAGCACTGCAGGAGCTGCAGCAGGGCCGGGAGCAGGTCCAGGGAGAGCAGAGCGGAGCAGAGGAAGGGACTGTCCGCTGGGGGGGCCGAGAAGGGACGTGTCAGTAAAACCGGGGCAGGTCCCAGCAGTGCTCCGGCTGTGCCAGGGGACACTCACCCGTGAGGTTGTTGAGCAGCCACAGGCACTCCTGGACCAGGAATGGGTGCTGCTGGAGGAAGCACTGCAGGAGGAGGAACAGGGCGATGAGCAGGCGCTCATCCCACACCTGGCAGCCCGTCTCTGCCAGCAGGTTGCTGAGACACCGCAGCACGGGGCACACGAGCTGTGACAGACAGAGCGACACACACAGCCCCTCAGCTGGACCCAGGAACAGCAATCCCGGGAACAGCCAGCACCCTGCCCGCCTCTCACCAGCTCCAGGCCCTCGGGAGCGTCCTGGGGGATTTCGGAAGCCAGGTGGAGCAGGAGCGAGGTGAGGGTGGGCACAGCCCCCAGCCCCAGCAGCACGGTGTTGGATTTGTGCCTGCAAAGGGGAGGGACAGTGGGGTGGCTCTTGGAGCTCGGAGAGCGAAAACTGCCACAGCCCCTTGCAAAACAACAGGGCCTGGAAATTCAGAGCACCCTCCTGAACTACCACAGGGCTTATTTCATGTTGCAATAGCAGGGTTTTTTCTAAGCTTCCGAGAATGTTTAAAAGCCCATAAAAAACAGACTCACTGGAATTACCTGTGTGGGTCTGGAAGCAACAGCCCCAACCCTTCTTTGAGTACCCCCACATTCCTTGTCTCCTGTGGCAGGCAGGGATTGCTGGCACAACCAGCCTGGATGGGTGGCACTGAGCCAAGCCCACATGTGTGAGGATTCAGGGAGCTTGCTTTGGGAAGCGTGGGGGACAACTCCAGAGACATGGGGAGGAGATCTGGGGGCATTTCAGAGGACCAGAAACAGCGTCCTCAGGTTTATCACCCATTACCACCCCATAAAGGAACTCAAGTGATCCTGCAAACAGCCCATGTGTGCTCAGATATGAGGGCACAGGAATTGCTTTCCCAAGGGAAAAGGGCAAGAGGAGAAAATCCAGTCCCCTCACAGGACCATGAGCCTTCATGCCTCTGTTTGGCTGCCCCTGGGGAACTCAAAACAAGGAGAAAAGCACATTTACCTACAAATGATGTAGTGGAGACACCAGGCAAACTCCACGGCTGCTCCCAGCCCAGCCTTGAGGCTGAAGCACAGGAGGCGAAGCATGTGCTGGGGGAGGACAGAGTCCAGGACCTGCCTGGGGTCAGACAGCAGAGTCAGTGGAGGCACAAGTAGGACAGACACTGACAGGGAGGCACTGACCCTGGACAGACACTGACAGGGAGGCACTGACCCTGGCCACTGAGCAGGGAGATGCCACACCCTGCACCAGGAGCCACATGCCCCAAATAAACACCTGGAAGAGACTCTCAGCCAAAGGCTGCAGCCTTGGGCTCTCCCTGTCCATGGCAGGGGCTGGGGGCACTCAGGACACCTCGGCTGAGGTCATATTTTTGGCACTGAGGGCTGTCAATCTGATCTTTTCCTTCACAGGAGGAACACAGCCAGAACTTCCCTGCGAGCCCACCCTGCTCCACACTGGCTTTCACCAAAATACCAGAGCTGTCTGCCTGGATGAGGCTGAGGGAAAGGAGCCAAGCCCTGTGCCATGATCCACATCCAAACCCCCACAATTCAGGTGGGATTCTGCCCTAGACTATTAACATCACTGGAATGGGAAAGGTCCCATGTCCCCGGCACACAAATACCACACTGAGCCCCAGGGCCCATCCTGGTGCAGGATTCAGAAGTTCAGACTCACGGGATGATCTCCATGGGTGATTCCTTGGCTTGGAGGAGCTGTGAGAGGACATAACCCACACCTTCCAGCACGGCCTCGTGTGGGGACTGCAATCAAACAGAACAGAGTTGATCCCTCCTGGCAAAGCCAGGGGCCCACAGTGCCAGACCCAACCCAGCAGCTGAGTCCCACTGTGCCCAGAGGAGAGGGGGCACAGAGGGCACTGAGAGGGACACAGGAACCTGTGGCCACACCAAAGCTGAGCCATCCCCCTCCCCACACTCGCTGGGCTGTGGCTGTAGGGGTCTAGGAGCCCAAATGCAGACCTGCAAAGCACAGCCCCAGCCCAGGCAGAGGGGAGAGGCCTGCAGCTCCCTGTGTTACAGACTGTATCAGCAAGCCACTGGGTGGGAGAGATTCAGCTGGAGAGGAGCACAAGGTGGTGAGCTGAGCCCCAAAAATGGAGTGCAGGAGAGCCCAGGAGTGACCCTCACACTCGAGGGAACAGCTCCCTGCAGAGGGGTCTGTGCCCACAGCCAGGCTGGAAGGAGGGCTGCTCACTCAGGGCTGTCAGCCAGAGAAGTCTCTCTAGGGCAGGGCAGGAGGAGAAGTGTGGCTGAGCTGTTTCACCCACCTGGATGCAGGATGCCAGCACTGGAATGATGCCCTGAGGTAGAAGTTGCTTCCTCACAGCTTCACTTTCTACTACGAGGTTCCCCAGTGTGTACAAACACAGCTCCTGCAACACACCAGAGCAGTGACCCTGTCTGTGCTCCCCTGGGCAAAGCCCAGGTCTCACATCCTCCTCTGAGCAGGGCAGAGCTGAATTCAGACACACAGATACTGCTGGACTCTCCAGCCACCCCATTCCCAGCTGTGTCAGCTTCAGTTGGTTCTTTTTCTGTCTGGCTCAGGTTGGGATCTGATCACTTCCACTTTGGAGGGCATTGAAATTGCAACAGTCAAGTCTCATCACTGGATCCACTGGTGGTGATATCTTTCCTCTCCACTATCTACTCTTATTTTTATTTTCTTTTCCTTATATATTTTCTTAAGTGATATCTTTATACTTTTATATTATTATATTTCTGTAGATAATAGCCAAAACATCTACACATCTCCTTTGCATTGCCATCAAATTGTTCTAAAATAAAGCTGCCATATACATATAAAAACATATATTTTTATATATATATGTATATAAACCCCAGTCATTCAGTGTCGTGTCACTCTAATCCCACCCAAGGGGTCCACCATTAACAAGAACCTCAGTTACCACACCTTCAGGGGTGGGTTGTAACACTCGGGCACTGGGAACTGTTCTGCTCCACGGGGAAGGTTGGACCAGAGGCTTTCCAGAAGGCCCCTTCCCACCAGCACTCCCACGTGAGCCAGGTTTGGCCAAGAGAGGTCAATACCAACAGTTACCAAAGGATCCTCTGGTGCCAGAACACGGATCTCACCGTGAACTCCACGCTGTGCCCCGACAGGTACGTGAGGAGGTAGGAGGTCACGGGCAGACAGGCCTCAGCCACGGTGGGGTCACTGGAGTGGGACAGCTCGTGCAGACAACGGGCTGCCTCCAGCTGCATGTCGGCCAGGCTGCTGGTGAACAGCCCCGTCAGCGTCCGGATGCTGCCGTCCAGCCTGGTGGGACCCAAAGGCTGCTGTCACCTCCCTCCCTGCTCTCACCCACCCAGCCACCAGGACAAAGGGCCCCTCGGGACATGGTAACAGCCACACCAGAGCCGGGCTGACCTGACAAACTTCTGCTGAGTGTCCTCGTTCTGCAGAGCCCGGCGGAGGCGGCCGAGAGATCCCTTCCTGTCCTCCGAGCCCCTCTGCACAGCTCTGAGCAGCTCGAGGACCTGGCCACGGAATCAAAACATAGGTGAGCTTTCAGCAGTACCAGCATTAAAATTTCTTCCCATTAATCCTGGAGGCAAAGGAACCCAGGGCATAAAGATGGGCACAGAGAACCTTACTGTGTCTGGCAGCGACTCAGAAACATTCCCAAAGCCACCCCTGCCCAGCCTCCTTCACCTGCTGAGGCTGAGGAAGACCCCTGAGACCCTCATTACGACAGAGAACGTCATGTTCTTCACCTCATCCTCGGAGAGTGGGTCCGGCACGGTGTCTGCTCCATCCTGTCCCCCCTCCTCCGCCGCGCTGTCCTCCCGCAGAAGCCGCTTGCTGACCAACTGCTCCTCCCGCCGGGCTTTCCTGAGAGCTGCAATCGGATCAGGACCCGTCACCACCCGCCTAGGGCAGGACGCTTTTCCATCCCACCCAAGAGCCCCTTATTCCTCCCTTAACCCAAGGAGAAACTGTTCGTTCCTCCCTGTGCAGGCCTGGGAGGGATG